TTATCTATAAAAGATATTTTCAAATTTTCTAAAAGTATATTTTCAGCGGAAAATGTAACTGAACTTTAATTTGTTCGAATTTGCACCCGAAGTTTCATTTGTCCGAACAAACAATGGATTTTTGGGGTAATTTTTAAAATTGACCAATCACAATTTTCTTTGATAATTTCTAATTGGGGAATATTTAAAATTGCGCCAAAAATCAATTGTTCGAACATTTGTATAATTTCGGACAAATGAAATTTTGGGCGCGCGTCTTAAAAATTTTCTGTCATTGGAAAATTCGATTAAATGAGAATTCTGCTAAATTATAAAATTCAATTAAATTAAAATTCTATTCAATAAAAAATCATACGTAAATTAAATGACAAAATTAAAAATTCTGCCAAATAAAAAAGCAGAAAATTAAAAGGCATAAAAATAATTTGCAACGCTTATTATTTTAATACCTTAAAATTTTCTATGAATTCGGTATAGCTTAAAAATTTTGTTAAAATAATTCTTATATATATATACTTTTATGAAATTTGTTATTTTTTTTTTCATTCCATATGTGAAATATAAATTATATATATATATATATATATATATATATATATATAATAAAAACAAAAGTGTTACAAAAAAATTGAATTTATATAAATATGTAATAATAATTAAAATAATTGAAATTTTTGACATGGAATAGAAAGTTTTGCGATGATGACGACAGCTTGATGGGTCCTTGAGGAATGTCCTGGAATGAGAATGAGTATAATCACGACGTTGGTGTGTCGGAGGCTCATCAACGGAAAAGGGGGTGTAAAGAAGAGACGATGAGAAGATGAAGGGTGACTTGAAGTTGAAGTGGTTTGAGAGGTATATATATATATATATATATATATATATATATATATATATATATATATATATATATATGTATACTATATAAAGGGAATGAGGGCAGTCAGGGATTTAGTTAGAACCAGGGATAAGACATTCCAGAACTGGAATTGCATTTCACGAACGTATCATTCTGAAATTCCGTTCTCGCTATCTCTCTACTGCTTTCAAAACTTAATAGCCTCCTTCGTTTGCGAGCTTTGGCAGTGATAAGAAATAACTCTTATTTTTTCTTATCACACAAAAAAAAAACCGAAAATCTAGTTTATTTTTTTTAAAAAAAAAGAAGAGGTTAGGTTATTCGATATATATCGAATGATCGCCGAATTTGATTATAGTGCTAAATATTTACTAAAAATTCTCTCAACAAGTTATTTTTACTTTTCAAAAACGATTATTTATATATATAAAATAGAATCGTGATTTGTTGTTGAGTAAAATTCAAAAAGAAATCGAGCTTAAACTCTGGGAGGATCATTCAAAGTATATACGCTTCTTGAGTATACCGCTCACAAAAGCGCGACTTCCGTTCTTTTATGATCCTTTGCGTCTCTCTGGCATCAACTTCTACTCGTCATTATTTCTTTCGTATATATATATACGATCTTAAACTTTAGATTTAACTGCGTTTAACAAAAAAGAAAGTTGTTTATCCCGAAAATGGGAGCAAATTCTGTTATAAATAATGATTCTATAAATCATATTCTAACCATATTCTATATAAATATTCTAAATTTATTCTGATTTTCATAAATATATATATACGATTTTTACATTATTAAAAGAAAGCAGAATAATTAAAATTGAATTTCTATTGAGATAAATTAAAGCACAGAAAATTAAAAGGCAATAAAATAAGCTGCAACCCTTATTATTTTAATCTAATTTTGCTTATTTTAATCCATTTTGGTATTAAAATAAGCAAAATTGTATTAAAATAATAAGCGTTGCAGCTTATTTTAATGCCTTTTAATTTTCTGTGAGAGTATAGCTAAAGATATGTAAGAATCCCACCGCTGTCACCTTCAAAAATTTCAAGTATTAAGAAAATTTATCTACTTTTTTTTACGCCATATATTATATATATAAATAGAAATAAAAACTCGTCATAAAAATGAAGGATAATGTATAAATATTTTTTTCTAATATATACAAAGTTGCAATCTTTATTAAAGTGGAATTAATGGACAAATAATTTACGACTCTAGTCATCAACAATTATATATATTAAAGAGAGCAAATATATATATTACAGCCCAAAATATAAAAAACTTGTGATAACTATATATATATATTATACGTTTTTATTATTGTCATTTATATGTGAGTTATATTCATTACTTGTATAATAATTCACACATGAACGACTTTTTCTTGTGCATATGAGATATATATAGTTTTCAAGGGTGTCGAGACATCATCAGTTGAAGAAAAATGAGATTTATAAGGGCATAGACGACGATAAAGATGTAAAAAAATGACTCGTCACACTGGTATATACTTGTCGAGTCAAAAGAAATCCCAGAACCCTCATCTCTGGATAAATTCATATATATATATATATATATATATATATATATATGTTATGTATATATGTGTCTGGAAAATGGTATACATTCGTTATGGTGTGAGAGAATGCTAATATCCGGACCCAACCCCTCTTTTATATATATCAGACAGCCATTTGGACCCTGTGCACACAAATATGGCGAACGCGCATCATATACGTATACCCTTCGAGAAAATTATATGTCGCCGCCCCTTTTTATTGAAATATTTCTTATATTAAAAAAAAATTAAATATTTCACTTTTCTTCAGTATCGATGAAAAAAAATTTACTTATTTCCTTCAAGAAAAATTGAATTTTCAGATTTTTATTAATTAAAATTTATTTTTTTCATATATATATATATATACTAGGGGGCTATGCCCCCTGCGCGCTTCGCGCGCCAACCCCCATCCCCCCTCCTCTCTTCCCCTCCTTTTCCCCTCTCCCCACCCTAAATGTAAAGGTTAAGATCGTTTCAAGACTCTGAATATGTAAGTAAGTAAGTAAGTCCCCCCTCCCTTTTCTTCTACCCCCCTTCTCTTGACTTGCGGCTATATTCAGAGTCTTAGAACAGCGGCGGCAGCGGCTTCGCGCCCCAACCCCCATCCCCCTCCTCTCTTCCCCTCCTTTTCTCCTCCCCCACCCTAAATTTAGAGGTTAATATCGTTTTAAGACTCTGAATATAGCCGCAAGTCCCCTCCCTTCTCTTCTACCCCCCTCCTCTTTACTTGCGGCTATATTCAGAGTCTTGGAACAGCGGCGGCGTTGGCGGCGATATCTTTTTGTAATATAGGTAGATATATATATATATATATATATATATAAATATGACGCTTCACGGTGACAGGAACGTTAGCTGTAAACAAATTTTAGGTCATGTTTGTCTTTTCTAAAGTGCTACTATACAAAATCATCACTAAACATAACCTAAAATTTGTTTGCAAAGGAAGCTAAGGTCCGTAGAGCGCCTCATATATAATATATGTTTAAGGATTTAAAGCGCGCGATGGTCTAGTGAAATATAGTTGAGAAATAAATTTTTTAGTTAGTTTTTGAAACAATGAGGAAGAATTTTATTCCTTTTTCAGGAAAAAAAAAACCTTTCAAAAAAAATAGTTTTTAACTTATTTTCCAGCTAGTTTCCAGTTAGTATATATATATATGATTTGAGAAAAGTATTTTTAACTTTAGAAAAATAATATATAGTTAATGAAATAAAATGAGAAAGAAATTATTTAGTTCGTTTTTAAAAAAAGGAGGAAGGATTTTTTAATTTTCCAGGAAAACAACCTTTTTATAAAAAAATGAGTTTTTTAATTTCAATGTATATATTCCAGTTATTTTCCAGTTAGTATATATATATGATTTGAAAAAAAGTATTTTTTACTTAATAGAAATAGTATTCAATGAAATAAATGAGAAGGAAATTATTTAGTTCGTTTTTTAAACAAAGTGGAAGGATTTTTTCATTTTCCAGGAAAACAACCTGTAAAAAAAAAAAAATGGTTTTTCACTTATTTTCCAGCTATAATTTCCAGTTAGTATATATGATTTGAGAAAGAATTTTTATCTTTTAAAAAAAGTTAATGCAATAAATGAGAAAGAAATTATTTAGTTCGTTTTTGAAACAAGGATGAATTTTTTTTCCTATTTTAGGAAAACATTTTTTCAAAAAAAAAAAAATTATTTTCCAGTTATTTTCCAGTCAAACATAATTGGTGTCAGCATCCCTCTTATATATATGTAATACCAAGTTGTAGATTTTGGGGTGGGTTAGGTAATAGATATATATATATATATATATATTTCAAGTTATAACTATAAAAGCGGGCCGTCAAGCCTAATAAACCAGACTCGTTAATGGTATCGCTAATAGAATCATTGTAAGGCCTTCGTTATATCTAAAATATTATCATCTTAGAATATCATTTATTGCAAATTATATCTGAGAAAATAATTTTTCTTTATATTTTTCAATTTTTGTATTCTTTTGCATTTTTTTTTACTTTATATTAAAATGTAATATTACCGGGTAATGTTACAGTAATATTACTATAAAATAACAGTAATATTAATTAGTAATATTACTGTTATATTACTGTAATACTATCATAAATATATATTATATTTTGTTTAACTTATTGGTTATAGAACTCTTGACTTGGGTTCGGGGTTCGATTTCTACTTTTTCCGTTATAAATCATATTCTCTTAATATTACTGTAATGTTAAAGTAATATTGCTGTAATATGACAGTAATATTACAGGGTAACATTACTGTAATATTACCTCAGTATTACAATAATATATAAAATTTATTGTGTTTCTTTTTTTTGAATTGTCGTTTCATTTGGTCTGTATATATATATATATATTTATACAACTGCATGTTTAATACGTATATTATATACTATATTGATATTTGAAAATATTAGTACGTATTTTTTATTATGTAAATATCATTTATCAAATATAACAGAATGTAGATTATTATTTTTTTTTTTACTGAATATGTAAATTTATATTTAATTATAATATCAAAAGCATAAACCCAAACTTGTATCCGGTTAACATTAAACAGTATATATATAAAAGTAGATATGAAACATATTTAAAACTAAAATTGTATATTTATTAATTTTTTAGTTTAAAACATTCGCCGACAAAAATGTTGCTCCGAAATAAAATGTTTCTTTCTTTATTTACCATTTTTCTAATTACACCGACAGGATCAGGTAAGAATAATAATAATAAAATATATATTTATTTTATATTATTACAAACAATTATAGAAAATAATTTTTGATATAATAAATAAATAATTTAATAATAAATTATAATTTATATAATATTGATAATTAATCATTTTTAGAATCCCAAATATGTAAAAAATTTGAGGTGTATTCAGAATTTGGTAATAAAAGTTGTGAGCGCAACTGTAATAATTATTGGCATGACGAATTGGACTGTTATTCGGTAAATATAAAAAATATTATATAATTAAAAAAAATTGATTTTCAATTTAATTTACTCTCTAAATCTGAATTAGTAAAAATGTTTACTAATTTAAATTAGTGACTCACTTTTTGCTTATGAATTAGTAAAATTTTACTAATTATTAGTAAAATTTTACTAATTATTAGTAAAATTTTACTAATTATTAGTAATTTTTACTAATTATTAGTAATTTTTACTAACAATTAGTAAAATTTAACTAATAAGCAAAAAGTGAGTCACTAATTAAAATTAGTAAACATTTTTACTAATTCAGATTTAGAGAGTATATACTTTTTTAGATTCATATAAATATAAAATGAAAAATTAAATCAAAGAAATTCTATATATTTGACATATATAGGGTTAAAGGAAAATTTTTATTTGAATGAAATAAATTTTCTTTGTATCGAAAAAAAAATTATGAAAGAAATTAATTTCATTGTATCAAATAAATCTTTTTTTCTGGATTTATATTGTATAAATTAATTAATTGTTTTATATTTTTATAATTTATTTATTTTCAGGATACAGGTGATTGTCTTTGTAAAGAACCTAATGTACGCGATACGCATACTGATGAATGTATTAGTACAAATGAATGTGAATATAAAAAAAATGAAATTAGTAGAAGAATTTCAGAATCTCGAAAATGTAATGCATTTGAATTTTACATGCCAAATGTTGATAAAATCAATGAATGGACTTGTGATAATTATATGGAAAAAGACAGGATATTATATTCAGTAAATATAATTATATATATATAGAAAATATTAATTAAATTTTTTTCTTCAATTTTTTTTTAAATACACACACCTCTCTCTATATATATGTATAACAAATATAAAAAATTTATATTAAAAAATTTAATTTTATCTATTATATAATTTTTGTTTTATTTCTTAAATTTAAAAAATTTTCAGGGTCTAGGAGCATGTTTTTGTAAAACACCAAATGTAAGAGATAATCTCACCAATGAGTGTATAAATATAAGGGAATGTTCAAGAAGAAAAGAAGAAAGAAATAAAAAAAGTAAGCTTGGAAAATTTTTTTGCTATAATTAAAAATATAATTATTATTTATTTTTATATTATATTTTTTCTTTATAATTAATTATATTTATTTATATATTTATTTCTAATTAATTTTTATTTATTTATATTTAATTATATATATAATTATACTTATAAGTAAATGAGACGATTTAATTTTATTTCAGAATGTGGAATGTTTGAAGAGTATTTAGAAAAATTTGATAAACGTAGTGAAATGACTTGCGATAATTTTATGAACGATAGATTATATTTATTGGTAATTATCAAATCAGATTAATATTAATTATATATATATATATATATATATATATATATATATATATACATACAAAAGGAATTTTTTTGTTTTATTTTCTAATTATATATTTATAAATTTTCAGGGCTCAGGGGGCTGTTTTTGCAAAGTGCCAACTGTAAGAGATGTTGTAACTAATGAATGTATTCTTGTTAGAGAATGTTTAATCAGACAAAAGAAAAGCAGTAATAGCAAAATAAGTAGTAAGTTGAGAATTTTAAAAAATTTTAATTTAAATTTTATAATAATTTTATAATAATTAATAATTTATGTAAAAATAAATTTTATAATTCAAAGACAAGAAGATGTAATAATAATAATAATAATAATAATAATAATAATAATAATAATAATAATAATAATAATAATAATAATAATAATAATAATAATAATAATAATAATAATAATAATAATAATAATAATTTTTTTTGTTATTATTATTAGTATATTGTTATTATAATTTTTTATCATGTGTAAATGTATATATTAATTCATATTATTATTAACAATTGTGAATATTAATATGAATTAATTAAAAAATTGCGTATATTAATATTTAGGTTTTTATGTTCAACAAAAACGTCAGCACTTTTTAAATAAGCACCTATTTTAACTATTATATTATATTATTATTATTATATTATATCTATATATTTGAATAGCGTTGACGTTATATAGTTGAACACTTACTCAAAGTTTCATATTATGAATATTAATGAATTAATGAAAATCATGATGAAATATATTATTATAGTTACGTCTATATTATATTTTCAACAGCTGTTTAAAGATAATTAATATTCTTGTATAGGAATTAAATATGATTAACGCATAAAAATCATTAGTTAAAATTTTCATTTTAAAGAATTTTATTAGATATAATTATTTTTTATTTTTTTATTAACATTTGACACTAGAATTACTTTTTAAACAAATTTTTATTTAACATAATTCTTATATATCGAATTTTTATGCAGAATTCTTAAAACGCCGAATTTTTATTTGTCCGAAATTGCAAATGGCTGAACAATTTAATCGTGATAGAAAGATGTTTGGCGCAATTTTTAAAATCAACCAATCACAATTTTATGGATAATTTTTGATTTTAAAAATCGCGCCAAAAATCTTTCTGTCGATTGTTTGTTCGGCCATTATTGCAATTTCGGATAAATGAAAATTCGGCGTTTTAAGAATTTTTGCCAAATAAAATTTCGGTGCCTATATAAGAATTCTGTTAATTAAAAGGTGCTTAAAAAAAAAAAGAAATTCTGACAAATGTTAATTTGAAAAATAAAAATTCGCGTGTAAATAATAATTATATGTAATGAAAGAAATTTATATTGTTTTTAAAAATAAAAAGAAAAAATTAGGAAATAAAATTTTATTCTTATTGTTATATATAGATGTAAACCAAGCAAGACCTGGATTTACAAAGACAATGAAGAATTATTATTCTAATGCTAAAAATAAAGTAAAATCATGGTGGAATAATTATATTGGATGAAAAATTTAATTATATTGAATTTATTATATTGGTATATGTTGCTTCTATATTTATTGTAAGCAATTAATAATTTAAAAATAAACTATTTTTTTTAATTATTTAATTTAATTAATAAATTATGAAAGATTTTTATATATATATATAGAAATTACAAAGGAAGAAGGAAAAATAAATAAAAATAGTTTAAGAAAAAGAAATATTATACTATTTATTATACTTTGGGATAAGAAATCTTAAGAAGTGGAAGATGATATGGGCTAAAGGACGTGAAAGAGAGAAAAGCTGGGAGCTTTATTTTATTTTAATAGCATCATAAGCCTGATGCAAAAAGCTTTATTCTATACCAAAGAATCAGTCCTTCATTCAAATGCAGAGAGGACCTGACAAGTATTACGCTCACGCAGAATATATATATTTTACCTCATACCTTATTCATGAGAGAGAAGATTTCATTCTCCTAAAATCTTTTCCTATGGCAAAATTCATCTTTTTTTTTTATCTATATTCTCTCGCGCGCAGTTTGTATACAACGAAAAGTGCGGCATTCCACGGGAAATTTTTTATTCAAAAAAATTTTTTTCCCCAAAACATTTATTTTCAAAATATAAATAAAATATAATTTACTTAAAAAAATATATATATATATAAGAAAATAAGAAATAGGTTTTGCATATTTTATGCCATTTTGACCGAGAGAGACGGAATTTGGTACATATTTGTTTCTCCTACAGGAAATACACAGAAAATTAAAAGGCATTAAAATAAGCTGCAACGCTTATTATTTTAATCCACTTTTGGTATTAAAATAATCAAAATTGGATTAAAATAAGAAGCGTTGCAGCTTATTTTAATGCCATTTTAATTTTCTGTGATCCGATTGTAAACTGCTTTTAACAGAATTTTATATAAAAAAAAAAACGCATTTTCGATAAATACTTAAAATACCAACAGGAAAATATTTATAAAATCAAATTCCTTGTTTATAGAAAATATTGAATCTCCTATCTATATGTATATAATTTGTAAGTAATGGAATTAAACTCGATATAAATGACGAAATAAAAGTGATTCACTGTTGAGTACTAATTTCTACGGATTCGCTTGCATTGATTTACTGCAGTCGTAATCGAGGAAGCAGCTCTCTGGCGCACGGAAATCGAATCTGTGCGTTGGAACAGAATATATATATATATATATAGGGGGCTCGTACGAGTAGAACATGTATAGATGCGCATCCCCCGCAGAGGGGGTTGACGTGCGGTTATTTATGCCCCATAGCTGGCACAATCCACCCCCTGACGCTATAGTCCTCGCATCGTTTCCTCCCTTCCCCCACCCCCACTGGTTTAGATCCCTGTTTTCCCCCTCTCTCTTTGCCACTACCCCCTCTCCCCTCCATCCCTCCCCCACTTTCTCTCTCTCTCTCTTACAAACAGGGTGTGTATTGTTTCTACTCTCTCTGACTCTCCACTTTTATCTAAGGGGGGGGGATCTCCCCCTCCCTCTCTGACTGTAACAGTGAACCATTCCCTTCGAATCCTGCCCTTGCCACACCACCGTTATACTCGTCTCGGTTAGCCCTTCCCCAATCATGGGTTCCATGGTTCCGGTTCGTAACAGCGTAGCGGGAGCATCAGAGTGAAAACGCGTATCATCGATCCGGACCAGGCACACACCAGCCTCCGCCTACAAACTCGAGAATTTATATATATATATATATGCGTATACATATATATACTGTATCGAGAAATATATATACCGTCGGCGGTTCGTCGTCAAACGACTATTTCTGGAAATAAAATTTACGATCTGGATTCGTTTATCAATTTTTTTTTTTTTTTTTTTTTTTTGTTCTTCAAAGTGGACAACTTAAAGAAAAGAAGAAAGGTTTACTTTTTTCCTTGGTTGAAATGAGAAAAATAAGGCATTATTTACAGCCGTAAAGAAATTGTATGTATTTACCTGCGAGTGATAAATAAATATTTATTCGAATTATTCTCTAAAACTGAATTAGTAAAAAAGTTTACTAATTTGAATTAGTGACTCACTTTTTGCTTCTCAATTTGTAAATTTTTTTACTAATTATTAGTAAATTTTACTACCAATTAGTAAAATTTTACTAATCCTAAAGCAAAAAGTGACTCACTAATTTAAATTAGTAAACATTTTTACTCTCTAAATCTGAATCAGTCATATTTCGCTGATTATAAATAGCAGTAGAAATCTACTAATTGCCATAGCGAGAATTAAGCAACTGATAATTAGTAGAAATTTACTGATTCAATTAATAAAATATCAATTACTGATTGAATCAGTAATATAAACAAATGGCAGCGGCCGCAAAATCTACTGATTTAACAGTTAATTTTAAAGGTTATATTATATACAAATTACTGATTTATACATATAACCCAAGAAGCACGTAATAGAACCTCAATATCAAGGTAATATTACATGTAAGATTCGTAATATAACGTTGTAATATTACAGTAATCTTACAGTGATCTTAAAATGTCCGCCTCAAGGTAATATTACCGGTAATGTTACTGTAATATTACGCGCTAACATTAAGGTAATATTTCAGTATTATAATACCGTAATATTAAGGTAATATTACAAGAGAATATTACAGTAATATTATGGGAACATTTCTTTACGAAAAAAATCTACCCATCCAGGGAATCGAACCCCGAACTCAAAGCACACGAGTCCAGAGTTGTACCAACAAGCCAAATTGCGACTTATAATATATTTACGTTTTTTATGCTTTATGATAATAACTCAAATCAGTCTGTAATATTACCGTTAATATTACAGTAGAAATTCCCGGTAATATTACCTTGAGGCGGACATTTTAAGATCACTGTAAGATTACTGTAATATTACAGCGTTATATTACGAATCACACGTGTAATATTACCTTGATATTGAGGATATATTACGGGAAGTTATTTTCTATTGTTTATATATTCACTAATTATATTATAGTAAATTTCAAAAAATAACTAAAAATTCAGTTAAAATGAAAAGTACTGATTGAATTAGTAAAATTTCTACTGATTCAGATTTAGAGAATAAAAATTAAAATTTAGAGAGTAAATAAATATTTATATTTGATTTAAATAAAAAAAATTTATTTACGCCAAATAAATTGGAACAAATATAATATATAATTTACCAAAGAGAAATTTTTTTTATTACCGTTTACTTGCACACAGATAAATGTTTTATTTCAAACTAAATATAATATAATTGAGTTAAATAAACGTAGGGGAATAGTGTCAGGGTTGGACACAGATTTGGTTTTTTCTTTATAAATATTTTGTTTAGATAAATTCAGTCAATTGTGGTATATGGGTGGAAAGATCTACAAAAGAGGAACACTTTTGCTGTGGACCGTAAATTGATTGGTCCAAAATTAAAAAAGTTATAAACATTTAAAAAAAAAAAATCTAGTCAGGGTTGGACTTTTCAGTCAGGGTTAGACACATTTTGAAAATCGAAACGCATTATTGGTAAAAATATAAAATAACATTTGTAATGTTTTTTATTCTTATTTTTTCATGTTTATCTTTACTTATTATTTACAAATTGGGTTCATGGGTTTAAAAAAGGAATGAACTCAAATTACAAAAAATAACGCTTTATTGTTCCAAATAACTATGAAATATAATGAACAAAATTTATACAATTTAAGTATTATTTTTCTAATATCTTTGGCACAATTTTGCACTGAAATATCAATAAAAAAAAATTTATTTATAAATTGTGTCAAATTCATAATTAATATGGGTGTCCAACCCTAACTAGAAGCATCATTTTCGAATTGTGCTAACCATAACCCAGACATGTGTCGCAAATCGATTTTTCACTTTTTTTCTTCTTAAATTATGTACCCCATAATACATTCAATAAGCTTACCTTGCCGAATTCTTGCTTTTTTTTTACACATTTTTTAGGTTTATTCACAAGTCAAACAAAACTTTTTTTGTCTCTTTGATTGCACCGAAGTCACAGGAGACGCTACTTTTGATTCTCCAAAAATGTAATGCCACAAAAAGTTAGGTTACACTATACTAGAAGATTCGTCACGTACGCACACAGGTGGCGCTAGTGTTCTTATATAAAAAAAGCCAAGTGTCCAACCCTGACACTATTCCCCTACTCTCTAAATCTGAATCAGTCATAATATTTTACTGATTAGCAGTATAGAAATCTACCAATTGCCATAGCGAGAATTGAGCAACTGACAATTAACAGAAATTTACTGATTCAATTAGTAAATTATCAATTATTGATTAAAATATTTATTTGTAACAAATAAATATTTATTTGGATTTGAGAGACAAATATATATCTTTCTTTTTTGGGTGCACAGCAAATTTGTTCGCAGATATATATATATATATATATATATATATACTAGAGGGGCTACGCCCCCTGCGCGCTTCGCGCGCCAACTCCCCTATTTTTGGCGGGAAATACAGAGAGAGATGAGGGAAGGGGGAAAGACTTGCGGCTATATTCAGACCCTTGAAACGAACATAACCTCAAAATTTAGGTCATTTTTGATGGAGGAGGTGAAATGAGAGGAGGGAGGGGGACTTGCGGCTATATTCAGAGCCTTGAAACGAACATAACCTCAAAATTAGGTCATTTCTGGCGGGGGAGGGGACTTGCGGCTATATTCAGAGTCTTGAAACGAACATAACCTCAAAATTTAGGTCATTTTTGACGGAGGAGGGGAAATGAGAGGAGGGAGGCGGACTTGCGGCTAAATTCAGATCCTTGAAACGAACATAACCTCAAATTTTTCCTAGGTCAAGAATTCTTGAAACAGCGGCGGCGGCGGCGGCGATATCTTTTTGTAATATAGGAATATATATATATATATATATATATATATATATATATATATATATATATATATATATATATATATATATATATATATATATATATATAAGCAAATATAATTTGTTATGGCAGCAAACTATATTTGTCAACACAAAATTTGCTAAAATAGAAACAAGATTTTAGATTTAGGAAAATTAAAAAAATTTTTTTTTTTGATAAAATTTATATTATACAAAGAATTGCAGATCTGTTAGAAGAGGAAAAATCGATTGAAAACTCATTAGAAAAAAAAGAACTC